ATTAACAAAAAAAAGATATAATTTTACTTTTAAGTCTCCAATTCTCTCTCTTCTCTCTTACATAAAGAATAATTTTATTTTCTTTCTTCATGAAGTGATATAATTAATTGTTTTATTAAGTCATTTCGTTCTTTTTGAATTTTGTTACTTTCGTTTAAAGATTCTTTCAGGTCACAAATTGCTTGTACTCTTTTTTGCTCTATTTCTATTTGTTTTTTTCTTTGATTATATAAAGACCTTTTGTTTTTTGTTGATTTGAGATCAGAAATGTGATGTGATGTTATTGAGGAAGTAGTGGATATAGAAGGCGAATTGAGACAAGTCTCTGGTAATACATCATTAAAATTAGTCATATCTGATAATGGTGTTGTTGAAAAACTGGACTGATTTGTAATACAATTTGTATGTAATATTGAAGAATTTTCATTTTGTACAGATTTTGTAGTAGATAATTGACATGATGCATTTATCACTTCTTCGACATTTATAGTAGATTCTAATATATTATCAGGGTTTACAGTTTTATCGTCGGCAAAAATTTGTTCCAATATATCATAATACTCCCAAGACACACGTCCACGTCCAGTACTACTTTTTTTATTATTATCTTTAATTGTTTTAAAGGATCTCTTCATATTTCTCATCTTACGGTCTAGAGTATTTTCATCTATGTTTCTATAACCATGCATTTTTAATATTTGTACAATTTCTTGCCACAATTGCTTTTTCCTTACTTTAGGATCTCGAAATTGTAACTTTCTTTCTGAATATGCTTCGAGAAAGAGCTTCGTTGATTTTATTGACCATGTGAAACTATTTTCTTCTGTAATGTTTTGTCCTGCAACATTGTGTTTTACATTATTGTGTTTTATAATCAAATAATAGAATATATTATTGCATGTACATTATTTTGTTGTTAAAAGTAAGAATTACTTTATCCAAGAGAAAGAAGAAGAAGGAGAAATCATCAGTTAATTCAGTTAACAGTTAAACAGTTAATTTATAGGTTTCATATTTCAAACTGTGTTCACTTTTAGATACTCAGTCAATAAAATAACCTGTACAATAATGTCTTAAAGACATTTTTAAAGTCAATCTGAATGCATTTCTATTTATAATAAATATTGGCTGGTATTCATAGTGAGATCTTACATTTAAGACCATCTTCATTTCATCTTCAAATGATATACAGTTTATTTCATTAGCTACAGAGTATTTGAAATAAACTTCAGACGATCTTAAATGTAAGACCTGATAATGAATACCATCATTATATGTATTTCGAAAATATTAAGGTAATAATCCATCTTTATATATTTTATATATAAACCATGTATTTTTATATGTAACGCAATATATATACACGTGTGTGTGTATCTGTTTGTGGATATGCCACAAGTATCTATCAGCTATTATATGTATTAAATGTGTATGTTCACATTTCATAAACATAACCTTTCTTCCTCTCTTTTTTCATGTATGTTTTTTATTATAATTTTATAAAATATTATAAAATATAATTTTATAAAATATTATAAATATATAAATAATATACCTGTATTTTCCATTTCATTTATTGATAGTAGTACAGGTGCAGTCGTGTTTTTTTTTATATACTCTTCAAGAAATGCTGGATCTGCAAGATATATTTTATAATATTAATAAAGTTAATGAAAAATATATAGTTGAGACGTTATATATATATATATATATATATATATATATATATATATA